CTTGTGCATCTCCGTCAAGCTCTTAGGTGACCAAGTGCATTGTTACAGTAGTAATATTTTAAAAGGAATCATCAGAGCAGTAAGTCTCAACACTGGGCTTAAAACATTCAGCAAACCATGTTGTAAACAGACGTGCTGTCCTCCAGGCTTTGTTATTCCATTTATAGAGCACAGGCAGAGTAGATTTAGCATAATTCTTAAGGGCCCTAAGATTTTCAGAATGGTAAATGAGCACTGGCTTCAACTGAAAGTCTCCAGCTACATTAGCCCCTAGCAAGAGAGTCAACCTGTCCTTTGAAGCTATGAAGCCTGGCATTGACTTCTCCTCTGTAGCTATAAAAGTCCTAAATGGCATAGTCCTAAATGGCAAAGTCCTTTTTTCTTCCAGTGGAAGACTGTTTTGTCTGCATTGAAAACCTTCTGTCTAGGGTAGCCTCCTTCATCAATGCTCTGAGCTAGATCTTCTGGATAACTTGCTGCAGCTTCTCCAACAGCACTTGCGCCCTCACCTTGCACTTTACGTTATAGAGATGACTTCTTTCCTCAACTCATGAACCAACCTCTTTGGACTTTTCTTCTGAAGCTTCCTTACCTCTCTCAGCTTCACAGAATTGAAGAGACTTAGAGCCCTGCCCTGGATTAGGCTTTGGCTTAAGGACTTGCTGGGGCTGATTTGATCTTTTAACCAGACCAGTAGAACTTTCTCCATATGAGCAATAAGGCTGTTTTGCTTTCTTATCATTCACATGTTTACCAGGTAGCACTTGTAGTTTCCTTCAGGAACTTTTCCTTTGCATTCACAACTTAGCTAACTGTTTGGCAAAAGGGCCTAGCTTTTGGCCTATTTTGGCTTTTGACATGCTTTCCTCACTAAGCTGAATCATTTCTAGCCTTTGATTTAAAGTGAGAGATGTGTGACACTTCTTTTCACTTGAACACTTAGCAGCCATTGTAGGGTTTTAAATTAGCCTACTTTCAATATTTTTGTGTCTCAGGGACCAGGGAAGCCTGGGGAGAGGAAGAGAGATGAAGGAACACAGTGAGTGGAGCAATCAGAACATACACAGCATTTATCGATTAAATCAATAAATGTCTTTATCTTCTACATGCACACTTCGGCGTGCCCCCAATGACAGTAGTAACCTCACAGATCACCACAGCAGATATCATAATGAAAAAGTCTGAAATATTGCAAGAATTACCAAAATGTGACACAGGAACACAAAGTGAGCACAGCGCTGTTGGAAAAATGGAGCCAATAGATGCTTGATGCAGCATAGCCACAAACCTTCAATTTGTAAAAACAAAACCAAAACACACAATATCCAAAGAGCTCAATAAAATGAGATATGCTTGTATTCTGGTGATGGGACAACAATGACAAGGCTTTAGATGAAAAAAAAAAAGAAAGAAAAGAAAAACACCAGGTGCCAGATTCCTTGATTAAGGCAAGTGGTGGGGAATGGGAGAAAAAAGTGTGAAAGGCTTCTCTGTAACTGATTACATGTGAAGGAACGTCATTCCAGGAAAATGCCTAGGTTTCTGGTTTGGACAATTTGATGCGTGCTCATACCATGATCTATGCTCCTTTGGATATGTGGGTGCCATATGTATTTATCATATGATTCAGGCTTCTTGGTAAGGTTATGTTCACAGGCATTGTTGCTATTAGATGGGAGAAGGCAGAACTGCAGGCATATATTTCACAACCAGCTTTTCCAAACCAGGTCTCATGAAGCACGGGTTTCAGTGAGTATTACCAGATCTCCTGGAGGGGAGAGAAGGTCACAAAACATGAACTGGTCTCCTCTGCTCTTCGAGAGTTACGGTGGAAACTGGCATGTTAAAGGCTCACAGTAAAGATACTGTTATACTTTAACTCAGTTTCCCATGGTTATTAGAGCCGAGAATTTTGGGGAAACTGCCGTAAAGGAGGTCAAACAATCTCAGAGTAGGTTTTGTCATGAAATTGCGGGGCAAGTAGGGTTCTATGATCAAAGAACGGCTGTTGTGTTGGGGCCATAAGAACGAATACAAGCAGTGGTGCGCAAGTAATGTTCACAGGAGGGTCTCGGTGGGATAGCGGCAGAGGCGGGAGGAGGGACGGGAGGAGGAGGGTTGGACAGCAGGGCTGCAGCCTTGCAGGGCGGTTGCAAGGCTCTCTGGATGGCGACAGCACCCCGATCTGCGCCCACATTGTTTCTGCGAGTCTACAGCTGGGCACGAGAAGGCTCAGCACGCATGCACCGCAGTCTGGGCAGTCGCGCTGCCCACAGCACGTAAACAGTAGCCCCACGCAGGCTCGGCTGGACAGGGGCAGAGGCGCCTTCGCCAGGCTCCTCCCTGCGCTGGCCCGCCCCTCAGGAGCACTGACCCTACCAGGAGCCTGGACTCTCCCCAGGGCCCGCCTCCCCGGCAGGGGGCGAGCCGCCTCCACTTCCTGTTTCCGCAGCTGCCCTATCAGGAGCCTGGCGCTCTCCTCAGGGCCCGCCTCCCCAGCAGGGGGCACCGCCTCCACTTCCTGTGTCCGCGCCTGTCACGGGAACCTGGCACCGGTGGGCCTCTGCTCGTGGGTGGCTCTCTCGGAGCTCAACTCCCGCTTGTCTCCGCTTGACCGAGTGCCTGGGCAGGTAAGGGTCCATTCTGTAGCCCATCCGTCTCTGTATGCCGCTCCCCAAATTCAGCGCTGCGCTCTGGCGTGGCAGCCACCAATTACGTGTGGCCATTCGCATTTGCATTTGTTGGTGCGTGGCGACACTGCCAGGTTGGTGGTTACCCTAGCAGGTCGGCCCAGCCCCGGAACGCTTCCATCACGGCCGAAAGCCCTGTGAGGAGGCGCTGCTACGCATTCCCCGCTGTTGCGCCAGCCCCTCTATACCTTCTGCATTTTTCCTCCTTGCTGCAGAGCCCACCGGGTAGGCGCGGGCGATGGCGCAGTACAAGGGCACCATGCGCGAGGCGGGCCGCGCCATGCACCTCCTCAAGAAGCGCGAGAAGCAGCGGGAGCAGATGGAGGTGCTGAAGCAGCGCATCGCCGAGGAGACCATCCTCAAGTCGCAGGTAGATAAGAAGTTCTCCGCGCACTATGACGCCGTGGAGGCCGAGCTGAAGTCCAGCACGGTGGGCCTGGTGACCCTGAACGACATGAAGGCCCGGCAGGAGGCCCTGGTCCGCGAGCGCGAGCGGCAGCTGGCCCAGCGCCAGCAGCAGGAGCAGCAGCGGCTGCAGCAGGAGCGGTTGCGCGAGCAGGAACAGCGACGCGAGCGCAAACGCAAGATCTCCTGCCTGTCCTTCGCGCTCGATGACCTCGATGACCAGGCCGAGGCGGCCGACGCGGCCGAAGCCAGGCGCCCCGGAAACCTGGGCAAGGACCCCGACGTGGACACCAGCTTCCTGCCAGACCGCGACCGCGAGGAGGAGGAGAACCGGCTCCGGGAGGAGCTTCGCCAAGAATGGGAGGCGCAGCGCGAGAAGGTGAAGGACGAGGAGATGGAGGTCACCTTCAGCTACTGGGACGGCTCGGGCCACCGGCGCACGTTGCGCGTGCGCAAGGGCAACACCGTGCAGCAGTTCCTGAAGAAGGCGCTGCAGGGGCTGCGCAAGGACTTCCTGGAGCTGCGCTCGGCCGGCGTGGAGCAGCTCATGTACATCAAGGAAGACCTCATCCTCCCGCACTACCACACCTTCTACGACTTCATCATCGCCAGGGCAAGGGGCAAGAGCGGGCCGCTCTTCAGCTTCGACGTGCACGACGACGTGCGGCTGCTCAGCGACGCCACCATGGAGAAGGATGAGTCGCACGCGGGCAAGGTGGTGCTGCGGAGCTGGTACGAGAAGAACAAGCACATCTTCCCCGCCAGCCGCTGGGAGCCCTATGACCCCGAGAAGAAGTGGGACAAGTACACCATCCGCTAATGCCCACCTGCCAGCGTGGAAACCGGGGGAAGGCACTCATTTCTCTGCTCCGTCACCGTGACCTTGATTCCTTCCCGCCAGTGTAATAAAGACAGAGGGTTCTCGCGATTCACATTAGTTGTTCTGTTTGCCGATGTTACTCTTTCTTTCCTTGCTTGGTTGGTCTTTTCCGTGTATTTCAGTGTTGCTACCTGGATTTGCTGCATTGCTCTGCTGAGCTGTGTTGAAACCATGACTGGGCCCACTGTGAGACAGAAATTAGAATAGGGGGCACATTTTTTACTTAGCGGTATGAGCATGGACTTGGGGGCCACACTGACTGAGTTTGATTCCCGACGCAGCTTCCTCCTTGCTGTGTAGTTTTGGCCAAGCTTATTAAACCCCTGTGCCTCAGTTTAGTCACCTGTAAAAGGAAATAAGAGCACCTACTTCATAAGATTGAAGATTAAGCGAGTTAATATTTGTAAAACACTTAGCACTTAATAAATGTGTTTTGTGGTTATTCTTATGGTTTTGGTTTATTTAAAGGATTGTAGTGACCTAGTTCGGAACCATTTGAGGGCAAAGGTGGACCTGCCCATCACTGGTCCCAGGATCAGCAGTTGCCAGCAGGAGGCGCTCACAGAGGTTGGGGAGCAGCCCCCCTCTGGTGACCTTTAGCTGGGTTGTTTAGCCCCAGAAGTTAGGAGGACAGAGAGCTAATCCAAGTAGCCTGCAGGGTCAGTATCACTTTTTTTTCTTTTGCTCCAATATGGCTCCACAGGGCAGAGTTACAGATCCTGTCTTTATTGAAAATGTTTGTATTTTATTCATTGTGAATCATTTATGTTAATTTTGATTTCTTAAAATATTGTGTTCAAATATTATTGGATTACTGAGTGGCATTTCCTTCCCCTTAACCTTAATGACCAAGGTGGATGCCTCACTCATCTTACCCCAGTCCCAGACCTGAGTGTAGGAGGGACATTAGAGTTCTTGCCTCAGCCCTTAAGCAGGTACCTGTAGCTTAAGCAAGCCTATTTCTCTGCTTCAAAAAAGTCTAGAGGTAAGTTGGCCAGAGCATCAAGGACCCAGGCTGCTTTTACCTTGTTTCATCATATGTGTCTTCCATATCCATGGTTACTTCATAATCCAAGATGGCAGCTCCAGCTTTAACCACCACATTTACATCCAGGAAAACAAAGGTAAGGGGAGAAAGAAAGTTCAAAAGACTTAAAACAGCTGTCTCTCAAGGAAGAGTCCTATAAACCAACAAACACTATATTGGTTGCCAGAACTTGTTTACCTGACCACACCTAGCTGCACGGGAAGCTGGGAGATACAGTCCTTATCTGGGAAGCCAAGTTCTATTACTATGGGAAAAAATGGACAGCAGAAATCAGGGGATAAACACAATTTCTGATGTAGTCTATCCCTTTCACTACAAAAATATCCAAGTGTATCCTTTCCCCACACATAGCACACTCAATCCTAATGCAGAGAAGACCACCACAGGGGCCCAGTAGTTACATATGGGGTAACATGCAGTCCTCTCCTTCAAGTCTGAATGTGGCCCTTTGTCATCCAGCTACTTATAAACTAAAGAATAAGCAAGCTGTCCTCTCAGGTACCTGATATGCAGTGGTCTAACAAACAAACAAAAACATTAGCAAAAGGGAATGCAAAGGACCAGCAAGAGCCAGTTCTCTGGCCACTGTCAAATTCTACTGGGAGGAATTGCAAAGACTCTGTCTGCCTTGGAGGTATCATCCCTTGTTTGCACTGGGTCCACTGTCTGGGAGGAACTCCCCAGTTCATTGCCTCTCAAACCCTGGCTTTGCCCTCCTGAGGTCCTCCATGACCACATCCAAGCCCCATTTGGCAGGGCTGCAGATTTTTTGCTGCCTGCTTCCTGCTGATGCAGATTTGGGGAACAGAAATTGCTTTCATAGGTTTTTCAGTCTAGACTAGTGGGCTTTTTGGTAAATCAATTCTCTCAAAAACTTAGATGGATTTCTAGTCAGTTCCATGTACAATGAATTAATCCCAGCCAAAGTTATTTTCTAGACATGATAAGTATGAAACTCTGGTTTTTACTTCCTGGCTTTTGAGCTCTGTCCATCCCACTCCCTAAACTTAATGAGGGATACCTTAAAACAATAGAATGGGGTGGGAGGATGACCCCATTAGTGTCCTCTCCAGCTTTACATGGTACCCAGCATCAATCTTATCTCCTGCTAAGGCTGTGCCTTTGAAGCCACTAATGGTAACTTAGGTTGGGCATAGTAAAGCATTTTACTTTTTATTCCAATCCCCCCAGATTGTTGGCACCATTTGTCTGATAAAGAAATTGAGTCTCAATGGGCCTAAGTCACTGGAATGGGGTCATATAATTTTGGAAGTGGGAATTTGTTGTATAATAAGAACTATATTTGGTCTTTGTCCTAGGTTCCTGGTACAGGGCTCCTAAACCCCTTGGAATTTTCCTGAGTGATAGGAGTGTCTTTTGATATTCATAACAAACCCCTTCCAATGTCACCTGTGTTTACCCTAACGAGGTGACTTCGGGTGGGGCCCCTAGTTAGCTTCAGAATGGGCATGCCCACCAGAAAAAGCAGTGACTAAAGGATTGGAACTTTCAGCCCCACCCACCAACCTCCAGGACAGTTGGGGTGGGAGTGGGAGTCTGGAGGTTACACTCTACAAAGACTCTTGAACAACATGATAGGATGAGCTCCCAGGTAGTGAATGCATCTTTGTGCAGGGAGGGTGGCACCTTAACTCCGCAAAGGATCAAAGCTTCTACACTCAGGACCCTTCTGGACCTTGCCCTGTGTACCTCTTCATCTACAGCCTTTGTAATATCTGTAAAATAAAGCAGGAAATGTAAGTTGTTTCCCTGAGCTCTGACAGCTGCTCTGGCAAGTACCATCATGGAAACTCCCAATTAATAGCCAGTGGATCAGAAGTACAGGAGGCTCAGACACAACTGGTGTAGGAAGCAAAGGCAGTCTTGCATGACTGAGCCCTTCATTTGTGGAATTGAAGCTATCTTCAGGGGGTTAACAGGAATTCTGGACAGAAATATAGTTATAATAAGCATTAATCAGACTGCAATTTGACCCACTTCCTTGTAACCAAAAGTCATTAGATACTGACCACGCATATCCCCATTGTTCCTATAGATAAGATTTCTGAGGTTAGAATCCTAAAGCTTTTATTGCTTAAGATGTCTTTCAGATCCTGAATCCCAGCAAAGCACCTGAGGCCAGCCAGTTTGAACACTCCCACAAAGGAATGGAATCAGCATGAGAATAACATTTCTTCTTTTCCCTGTCCCGTGATTTCAACTTGCTCTCTTTGACCAATCAACAGTCTCCACACTTTAGCCCACCAAAAAACCCAAAAAAATCCTAGCCCCAAGCTCCCTGGAGAGATGGATGTGAGGTTTCCTCTTTTCTGTTTGTTCGGCAGCTCAACAGTTAAATCTCTCTGCTGCAACCTGGTGTCTCAGCATATTGACGCCACCACACACATCAGGCAGAGGGCCTATTATGGACACAGGATCTGATGCTAGCATCAGGGAGGGAGTGTCAGAATTGAACTGAATTGTAGGACACCCAGTCGGTGTCAGAGAATTGATCAGAGTAGGAAAAAACCCACACATCTGGCGTCAGAAGTGTTCTGTGTAAGAGTGCAGTCACAGTCTTTTCTCAGAGACCTGAACCCAAATCTGTTTGTCTTTAGCATCACGGTTTGTAACTCCACGTCTATTCACTGTCGTTAAGCACACACATTGTCTAAAGATACAGTGCTACAGGCTCCTGAGAAAAGCAGCTGTCTCCTTTTCTCCCTCTCACTTCCAGTCCCCCAAAGGTAACTACGTTTCAATAGATCTTCTAGAAATTTACCTCTGCACTTCTAAACAACATGTGTATCTTGCTACTACTTGAGTTTTCAGTTTTAGGCATTTACCTTTGGACTTCCTGTTGTAGATGATAAGAACTTGGCACTCTTTCTTCCCTCCATTTCTCTGTCAACCCTACCACACATATGAACACTATCCACCACCCATCCCTCCAGCATAAGTAAAAAGTAATTTTGATTAGGTTAATATTCGTGTGTTTGCAATATTATGATCATACACATGCTGCATAGTGTATTATAAACAACCTTTTGTCATTTCTGGAATTAATAATTTTATTGTTTTTTGATTGACTTTTCATATTATTATTAAATAACCCTCATACTTCCTAACAACTGTTTTAATCTCCTCTCAGAATTAGCCCTTAGCATATTAATCATTCGAATTTTAAAAATTCCAGTGCCCTGGCATGGTGGCTCAGGCCTGTAATCTCATCACTTTGGTAGGCCAAGGCAGGTGGATCACAAGGTCAGAAGTTCGAGACCAGTCTGGCCAACATAGTGAAACTTCATCTCTACTAAAAATACAAAAATTTAGCCGGATGTGGTGGCACGTGCCGCTACTCGGGAGGCTGAGGCAAGAGAATTGCTTGAACCCAGGAGGCAGAGGTTGCAGTGAGCTGAGATCACGCCACTGCACTCCAGCCTGGGCAACAGTGCGAGTCTTCATCTCAAAAAAAAAAAAAAAAAAAATTCCTAGTCCGCTGGTTTCAACATTCCTGCCATATCTGACTTGTTCAAGCTCTTTACACTGTTGCCTTTTAGTATGCCTTATAATGTTTTAATTGAAAACCAGACATGATGTACTGGATAAAAGAAACTGCTGTAAGTAGGCCTTCAGTGATGTGGAGGTAAGATGCGGGGGAGGAGAAGCCCTCTCTAGCCCTACGGTTAGGTCTCGGTTTTTTTTAGTGAGTTTGTATCTTTAGCCCATGAGAGTCAGACAGTCTCCCTCTCCATCCCCCACCCCATCGACATTTGGGTGGAATAGGATGACTTCCTTCTCCCCCGTGGGAGGCTAGAGCTGGCTGGACTTGGATACAGTTGTCCCCTCTTATTATCAGTTTTGTTTTTCACAGTTAACTACCCAGAGTCTGAAAATATTAAATAGAAACTTTCAGAATAAATAATTAGAAAGCTTTCTATTTTAAACCCTTTGAGTAAACATGATGCAATCTCTTGGCATCCCACACCGTCCTGCCTGAGATGTGAATCCTCTTTTTGTCTGGCATCTCATCACTTGTAGATTCTACTCTCCTATGATTCACTGAGAAGCCACCTCAGTAATCAGATCAGCTGTCACAGTATTGCTATGCTATGTGCAAGGAGCCATTTTTACTTCATAATGGCACCAACGGGTAAGGGGGTGATGCTGGCAATTTGGATATGCCAACGAGAAGCCATCAAGTATTTCCTTTAAGTGAAAGGTCGAAAGTTCTCCATTAAGATAAACAATCAGGCCGGGTTGCGGTGGCTCCCACTTATAATCCCAGCACTTTAAGAGGCTGAGGCAGGCAGCTCACCTGAGGTCAGGAGTTCAAGACCAGCCTGGCCAACATGGTGAAACCATGGCTCTACTAAACATACAAAAAAATTAGCCACGTGTGGTGGCAGTCACCTGTAATCCCAGCTACTCAGGAGGCTGAGACAGAAAAATCATTTGAACCCAGGAGGCAGAGGTTGCAGTGAGCTGAGGTCACCCCACTGTACTCCAGCCTGGGTGACAGGGCAAGACTCCATCTCAAAAAAAAAAAAAAAAAAACAACCAAACTCATATGCTGAGGTTTCTAATTTCTGTAGTAAGAATGAATCTTCTATTCGTGAAATTGTGACAAAGGAAAAGGAAATTTATGCTACTTTTGCTATTGTACCTTGAACTGCAAAAATTACGGCCACAGTGCAAGGGCTTAGTTAAGATGGTCAATAAAAATTTAGTCAATAAAAATAGCCAGTGGTCTTCATAAATTTGGGGCAGAGACTATTTCTTACAAAGGGTTATAACCTACAGGCTGGGAAGTGAGCCTACAGCCAAAACCCAACGCAGGCACTTTGCGGGAAGAAAGCATGGAACAGGAATTTGCATTGAAGGGGTTGGCTAAGTCTACACATTCAACAGGTTATAGGAGGAGCTGTGAATATTCATGAAGGGGATCTTACATGTTCATGTTCAATTGCGGGTGGAGATTTAACATTTAGACACATTACAATTAGGTATATATGAAAAGATAAAGCAGGGACATGACGGCACTCAGGGGGACATGACGGCACTCAGCGTGCAGCCTCTGTAAACCAGTCAGAACCAGCCTGTGGTCAGTGGTCTGTTATCAGGAGAAAGTTACTGAAATCAGTCTCTTGTCCAATCACAGCTAGTTACGGTTTGTGGAACAGGGGTTGGGGTCAGTTGGTCAGTGCCTGGCAGTGAATGGGCTGCAATTGCTTCAATATCTCAAGGCCAGTTCTTGTTCAGCTGCTAGAGAAAAAGAAAACCCATGTGGCAG